AGTAGACAAGTTGAAGAACATACATGTACAAACTGTGACCATATTGATGGGCTCCTACTCATTGATATTTAGGACTAGATCCTGATGGAGAGATTGAGAATGTTCAATGATTGAGAATGATGGAGAATTCAAACGTACACCTGTACATGTGTTTACTGTACACTGGATTTGATGTCTTTACAGGAATAATTAAAGGGTACACCCGTACAGGTGTCAAAATGGCTGTCCTAGGAAAATGGAAGATTTTGGAAGATTGAAGAGGGTCTGCTTAAAAAAATGCCAAGAGAGTTTGGTATTGGCTTCTTCAGCTGCCTACCAAAGAGAACTACGGTAGCTTCTTGATAAAAATTGGAAGTTAAAAAGTAGAAGGGTCGATGTCCAGTGTATTCTGAAGGGTTGATGTCCAGTGTATTCGGAAGGGTCGATGTCCAGTGTATTCTGAAGGGTCGATGTCCAGTGTATTCTGAAGGGTTGATGTCCAGTGTATTCTGAAGGGTTGATGTCCAGTGTATTCTGAAGGGTCGATGTCCAGTGTATTCTGAAGGGTCGTGTCCAGTGTATTTTGAAGGGTCGATGTCCAGTGTATTCTGAAGGGTCGTGTCCAGTGTATTTTGAAGGGTCGATGTCCAGTGTATTCTGAAGGGTCGTGTCCAGTGTATTTTGAAGGGTCGATGTCCAGTGTATTCTGAAGGGTTGATGCCCAGTGTATTCCGATACTGAAATTGGTTCAGTGGTTACTTATGTACATGTATTGCTTTTGTTTTACATTTTTCCAGAAATTAGAGGACACTGTTTTATCCAAGGAAGAGCAGGACGGTGACAGAGTGCCACCTGTCCGAGGTGACGGGGACAGTAACACCAAGGTTCCTGCCCGCATCCGTGAGATCATCACCAAGAACCTGTCAGCGGATGACCTACCACGGTTGGAAGAGACTGGCTTGAGCCCAACAGTCATGTCGTTGCAGGAGGAAAATCGGATGTTGACCAATGAACTAAGCCGAGTGGAGGACCTACTGTCGGCCAGCCGAGCTGAGAGAGATGAGATTGCTATCAAGTACCAGGCACTTTCAGATCGGGTAGGAATGATAGACATTGTAGTCAAAAGGGCTTTCTAGAAAATAGTGGAAAACACACAGAAATAAGCAGAGCTCAAGTTTTATCACAGGAAAAAAAGAACTGTAAAATGCAAATCCTCCTAGATTTACTTCAGGCCATTTGTAATGGTCAAAATTGTGGAACGTCTGTCTGTCACAAAGGAACATTCTGAGTGAGGTGATATACATGTACATGTACAGCCTGTGCTAATAGATTGTTCCATGCACGTCTTTGTTCACTATCCCCATTCATCTTTGGCTAATAGCACAACCATAATTGATACAATATCCACTCTGCAGACCTACGTGTACCTGTACTGCTTGCAGTGCATGATGGGACTCATGCACCTGCCCATTATCCCCCCCTCCCCCGCCTTTCATTCCGCTGGAATTTACTAAAATCCAAACAATATTGCATTAGTCATCAACTTCAACCCATTTACCCAACCCCAGATGAATTTATTGCTGAAATGTTTGACAATGGTTGCAACAATGTGCATATTTCTTGTATTTGAAGCTTCATGGTCATGATAGTAGAATTTGCCACGTAGCCTGTTTATGTTAAATATAGCTGGTGGCTCGTGCTGCTGGTTTGTGTGGGCTGTCGCGTTGATAATAGCTTTGTCTGTTCATGTATTGTACGAGTACTATTCTTGTCTGTACTGTCTGGTGAATGTGGAGCAATGCAAACAGTGTTTTTGAATTTAAATCAATGAAGACTACAAGCAGTTCAGGGTGACATCAATGTACATGGATGCACCATACAGTTTGAAAATCAGACTACATGTACATGTATTGAATCCTTTAGCACAAATTAAAATAAAAGCATCAGGGTCTGACATGCGCCCCCCAGAGGAAAAAAAGCGGTGGTATTCAAGCTTTTGTTGTGAATTGTCAGGTGGGTTTTTATTTTGTTAGCCTAGCCAGTCCATGCTAACTGGGTAGGTGGAAAAAATGCTGCTTGTTAGAAAAAAAAAATTCATATTTTTGTGTGCACCTGTAAATTATTCCATTGATTACAACATACTGGTATTTAACATTTGCTTGCCTTGTACAGTGTAATTTCTTACATGTATCAGGTGTCGTTTCATTCATCTGTTCATATCAGGTTGTACAGTGTATTGTAATTGCATTAATTGATACATGGAAAATGCTGATGTAAGTGAAGATGTAATGGAAGGTCAGAGCAACATGTACAAAAGCAGAGATGGAGCAAAGAGGAGCGGCAAGATCCAATTACTTTGGGAATCAACGGCCTTGCTTTATTTCCATGAATTCCCCAAGACCGGATTGCTGTTGGCAGTCTGTCTGTTGGGCATTTCAAACATACCCTTTGTCGCAAGATTACCTCTAGTAATTCAGACAAACAAACGTTTTGTACAATTTGCATTTTGCTTTACAAGCGTGCAGAGGGTTTCACGTAACCTTAGATTGATTGATTGGTACAGTACATGTACATGTACTTTGCATTTCCACAACACATACTCAACTTCTATTCAATTCATGCTCATTACTGACTGCATATTGTTGTGTAGTTACCATGGTAACACCTGGACTGGACTTTGTTCCATGCTCAGTCTGTGTTTTTGAATTAAGGCTGCCAAACATCGTGCACAATTTTCATTTCATTAAACCTGTTTAGCTGTCAGTATTTTTGATTGTCTGTAAAAGTTCATTTACCTTGATTGAGAAGAAATTGTTGCTACAATTTAGAAGAATTCATTACGTGTTTTCATTTCATTTTATGATCCAACCAACAAACTTGCGCTCACTAAAACTCTAGAAGATTGTTCGCTCGATGTGTCGAAAAGCTGGGAGAGAAATGTAATTTGCTTCTGGAGATTTCAGAGAGCACAGCTTACGAAAAAAAAAAATTCAATTTTTATGCTGAAAGCTTAGTAACTAATGACAATAAAGTGTTCTACCAGTACCATGTATCTTGGAAGCTAAGTACATGTACATATACAATGTACATGTACATGTATTAGCATGGTACATGTACACATGTACCTGTACGTGTCCGTTTTTGTGCAATTTCTATGCAATTAGCAGCAGTGAACAGGTGAAATATCAGTATCAATACATTGTCTGTATGAAGATGTAATCAGAGACCGTGTAAATTGAGGTTTGTTGCAACGTTTGACCTTTGCACTTGGCCAATCTCTGCTTGCTTACATTAATCTTCTCGTGACCAATCACAACAAAGAGTGATAGTATTTGCATATGAATGAGCATGTGCTTGCTTGTCTCATTGTGAGAACGAGGTGTTTATTTAATGACAAGCTGAAGTGGGATGGTGTGTAATAGTAGCAAACATTTATCAACGGTCAAATTTTAATTTAAAAATTGATTTTGGCAAGCCGGGTGTTCACCAGACTGATGTTATAGGCACTAGCCACAACGTAAAGTTGCTGTGATGTGTTGTGCTGTAGCAACATCTTTTGGGGATTATGACCGCTGAAAACTAAACACACATCGGCAAAAATTCAAATTTGGATAAGGCTTACCATCAATGACTGGAGATCTGCGTGTACCATCACCATTCAATCATGAGTGTGTCTAGTCTTGGAAAGCAATCTTTACCCACATTTGATGATGTTTTGTCGGAGAGTTCTGATGATATGTCTGTAAAGGTAAGCAGAACATCTGGATTATTAACTAAAAATGTTTGAAAATTAGTCTTGGCCAAGAACAGACATTCAGAAAAATTTAAGTGGCATGCAGTAGTGTCTCCAGAATGAAGAATAAAATGGCTACCCATACCTTTACTTCAGGAAATTCCGCAGCAAGGAGGTTTTTGGTTTGAAAACATATCAATAAATATTCCATTTATAAAGCCATGATGTGAGTTCGCCAGGCATGCCAGGGCACAGAGTACCCTGTTGGGGGATGGACATTGTGTAGGTCTTGAGCAGTTCAGTTCATTGATCCCTTGTACCACCCCTCACAGCATGACATGTTTAACCTTCTCACCTTAGCTTGTACCTGTCACACCCCCATAGGACCCACCAGGCTTAGCCCTACCAAGCCCTACCCTAAAATCATCACTAGGGAGCTTATCCTCCAGAGCTCTGCACCTGCTGAGATCATATTCCTGGCTTGCTTAGCTTTGCCATGACAACTTTTCTATTCCCTTTGTTCAGTGTGGTGAAACCTTGTCCAGACCAGAACAGGCCAACAATTGAATATTGTACACCTGACACAAGTAGCTTGATTACCTGGTCTAAGGAATGAATGGAACACAAGGAGGTTGTGTAATTGAGCGGTTGAGCCAATTAAATTTGGCAGAGTTTCACTCTGGATTCTGTTAACAGAGGTTGTGCCCTTGCGGATGCTGTGTTTGCCTGGCTGTTAATTAGAAAATTATTTTAACCTGTAGGAGAAAAACCAATTCCCAACAACATCCTTGGCATAACTGTCTATGACTTAATATCCATTGCATTTGTAGGCATTGGATTGGCAGATTCCAATCTTGCAGCAAGATACACGCCAATGTACATGTAGTTGCTGTTAATAGTCTCAAGAAGCTACGGTGTAGGATTGTGCCCTGCCCGACCGTACATATCCACCATCTTCAGTGAAATAGTGAAAACCATTCTTTAATAGTGGGTTTTTTTACTGATTTGAAATCATGCTTTTTTCTCAGTCGCTGGGGACAAGTTTTTTTACAAGCATGTGTTCTGTTTCAACACATTTCCTCTGGCTATGGTGCAGTCTTCAATATTTTGACTAAAAGATTGTGGAAGACTCTTAACCAGTTCCCTGCAAAAACATCGCCGAAGTACTGGCTAATCATCTGATCAGTTTTGTTTTCAACCAGGACTAAGCAACCAAGTCATGTTCCTCACAACAGTTTTTTCCAGCATTACGTTACACTTCAACTGTTTGTTCAATTAGAAGATTGGATCAAGGCATTGATACAGCTTAATATAAAAAATCCAATAAATCTACCTGAGATCATCACAGATGATTTTTTTCATTGAACCTAAATTACCATTGATATGCTTCAGGTGAGGAGCTGTTCCTGTCTGGGTTTTGCTCACTCACAGTAGTTGATGGCATTTCCATATGAATAGGGGACGCTATCTATGAATGGCGCTTTATTTGACAACTTGGCCCCTGCCCACTGGCTATTGTCACAGTGACCTAAATGTTTATCTGTTCTATTACACAGATCCAGGCACTTATAGGGTTGATTCTCGCCAGTGCTTAAGTCACCTCAGAGTCTTGTTTCATGATATGACTTTCTTGCTGTTTCAAACTTTGTCAGGTGTGAGCTAATAAATTGGAATGTTTTAATCGCCCATGTCATTCTGTCTGTCCTTGCTGTTACTGCCTGTCTCCTATTGTCATGATGTTTGTAAGACGAAGCATGACAAATTGTTCTCTTATCTGTAGTCTGATTAGCATAATCAATAGTATTGAATTTTCATTGATACCAGAGACGCTGTGCTGATCTGGCTAAGTGTTGACGGTACTTTCTAGGTTTTCTGCGTCTGTGTTGGTCCTGTACTGTAGCCTATGTAATGCTCAGAGGGTTTTTTGCTGGGGAGGATTCTGATACTAAAATTCCTTGGAGGAAAAATCCCTAGACCTTGAGACGATGAGGAGTTGATGTCAGCTAATGACATGTCTAACAGTGACAGCGAGTCAGGGTCCTATGTGAAGAGCCGTGTGGATCAAGCAAGTAGCATACCATAAGATGATGAGGACAGCATTGAACACAGTCAATGGGGACTCATCTAGGGTAGCTTTAGGGACCTTGATTACTCTTGGTAGATATTTAAATTGTCATTGAAACTTTGAGAAGTTGTTTTAGCTCCTGTGTGCAAACATTTGTGTTTCAAAATAAAGGTCGTTACTTGTAGATGGGTAAATATTTTTTAGGGCTCAAGCATTGGGAATAACTGGCTATTGAGCAGTAAATGACCATATATCGATACTTATAAGACTAGGATGATACCACAGCATTCACACTCAGAGACAACTTCATCAGCTCCAAACAATTGAATTAATGTATTCCTGTTGTTCACTTTCTCGATCGTCTTGCCTAATTAAACAGAAGTATAAAGAGGAAGTTAGGAGCAGTTAACTTGAGAGTCACTGAAAACAATTAGACTTTGTTTTTTATACTGTCATACGTGTTCATAGCTGTAGGTTATTGTGGATGAACTTTGAAGAACGTACATGTACACCGTGTTCTCGGTTATACTTTAGAGTTATTATCTGAGGGAAAATGGTTTTGGTTGGGATTACAGGGACACTACTGGTACACGTAGTTCATCGGGTCTTCAAGCAGGTTTTCTGTAGTCCAAATTTTCTAAATGCCAATTTGTGGCTGTTTTCTTTTAATCTGTGGTTCTTGTGAACTGCCTGTCATGGCTGCATAGTGGGAAGATGCCATCAAGTCTGGTGAGAAAATCCATCTACATGTAGGCACCAAAGAAATCCTCGACAGTGAACTTACCTCACTTCTCAGAAAGTATGGACATAGTCGTCGCCGTCGACGGCATTCAGATTATGGCCCAGTGAGAAGATTCAGTTACATCACAAACTCCAGAAGACCCTCGGACTTCCAGGGCATCCGGAATTTGTTTGAGGCTGGGTTTGATGCACTCTTAGAGGAGGATGAGCCAGAGAATGGAACCAGTGATGGTGAGGGTACCGGTGAGGTGACTGAAACAGCTGACAAGAGCTGTGACACAGAAGAGGTGATTGGTTGATTGATGAGTGGTTTGGTTGCTGTAAAGTTGATGTTTCCTTGACAAGGAAAGATTATAAGGTCCATGTACAGTACCTGTAATGTGTTCATTTTCCTGTCATTTCCTTTTTAGTGTTGACACTCTTAAATTAGCTTTGATTTGTAAGTGCCTTCCTGATTTTTCTCTTTTGACAAACTACAGTACATGTACATATAGCTGCCATTTTTCACTCATTGCAAATATTTCTAAACAGATCTCTTGCCTCTCTCAACCAGCGTTTAGGTGTTCATCATACATGTACATGCAGTTTAACACAAGTAAGACACTGCTTTTAGAAGGAGGAAAGATGTATTATTTAAAGATACAATGGCCTAATAGTTCTGAGTCTAAAGTGGGTCCATAACATGTTTTGCGGACAATCTCGTTTGGACAATAGAAAGTCTGTCCAGCGTTGGAGGGATGAGCCACCCTGGTTGATTCCTCTGTGTTTTGATTACAGGTTTATCTCCATCACCATGGGAGTAACATGCATCCTCAGCTAAGAAGATTGTCTCTCATCCTCAACTTCTTTTCTAGGTTGATTAAATCCCCTGTGTCTAACCACCTAAGACTCTGCTCCATTCACCCAAAGGATTATCCCTGTTTAAATAGAAGTGTTGCCCAACACTGGATTAGTGTGTATTTAGAGAGCAGTGGAGTCGTTTCTGAAAACTCCCTGTCCCAAAGCAAGAGCGTACATGTAGCTTTTGAATAAGGATTTTTCTGTCTCCAAAAAAGTATGAACTGAACACTTGTTACAACCCAAAGTTGATAAAAATGTCTAGATTGCTGCTTTAGTTTGTATGATCCTCATGTGAAATATGCACCATGGTTCATACCTGTGCACCTGCAGCAGTCATCAAACCTTCATAGGGGTAATTCCAAAAAGTAGGGGTCCATTTTTTTTCGTTTCCCTGTCACATCTGACATATGATTTTGTAAGTTCAGAACACATTTTCTAATTTCCAAGGGTGATGAATTAATTCAAATTACCTGCCAAACAAATAGTTATAGTTTAAAATCAAATTCAGATGATATTTCCATGTCAATAACAAAGGTCAGATGTAACAGGGACACAAAAATGTCACACTTTTGGACCCCTAATTTCTGGAATTACCCATATGCAAGTAAAAGGTTGACATGTCTTAGAGTTAATTTCAAGAATTTCCAAACACCATGATTGCATACTACAAGTACATGTACATGATGTACAGCATGTCAAAGCAATGACGGATGTCATTGTTTAAGGGTATGTACATGTAACTGCTTCTGAAGAACGTGTCATTGTGCAGTGCAGGTTTTGTGTACAGTACATATGTTTGATATTCTATTTTCCGGTAATGTTTGGAGTCTGGTGTTTTTGTTTGGTAATGTTTGGAATCTTTTGTCTGGTGTTTTTCAGGAAGTCTGAGTTTCCTCTCATCTGTTGATGTAGTCAAGTCCTTGTTCCTTTCATTGCATTCATTATTTCATCTTTACTTTCCCCGAACAGTTGGAGTCATCATACAAGACAGATATCGGCATTGAACGTGAGCGAGAAGAGCAGAATCGATCCTTGGTTCAGCAAAATGTGGAGCTGAGACACAAGCTGGAAGATGAACATTCCAACTATAAACGCAAACTCCAGGCTTATCAGGATGGACAGCAAAGACAAGCACAGTTGGTGCAGAAACTTCAAGCAAAGGTAAAGAACAGGTGTACCGGTAATTGATGGGCCTTTATTCTTGGAAACAGCCAGTTCATATATTGCCCTCCTAGACCTGCCTTGAGGGATAGCTCTCAGAAAGACACAAGTTTGGTACAGTCTCTTAGACATGGATTGGCCACATGCATCTTCAAGACTTAAGTGCCTTTGTACTTAATGTAAGCAGATTTCATAGCTCCACTTTAAGACGGTCTAAAACAGCTGCTTCTCAGGCTAACTGGTTTCATTGTTTGCAGGTGTTGCAGTACAAGAGGAAATGTGGTGAGCTGGAGGCTCAGTTGCAGGAAAGAGTTGCTGAAAATGAGCAGCATAGATACTCGGTATGTTGCATTATCCAAAATAAATATTAATTGTTTATTTCATGTGTAATTCCCCTCACAGCCACAAACATTTTTCTGCTTTACTCACACTCTAAAGAAATCAACTTTCTCACTGTTCAACACCGTTTTGTTTCATAGTCTTACTTGGTATGAAAGATTACTTTTGTTCCACAAATACCTTGGAGGTTCATTGAAAGAAGTTTTGAAAAGAATGTTCCATGACCAAGATAATAAAATGAACTTTGAGGGAAAAATTGCTTGATCCTAAATCATTCAACTGGCCAAGTTTAACAGTTAGGTCTTTCACTTTGCCTTAGTATGAAGAGTGTCAGAACGTGAGCCGCTGGGATTTCAATTGATCCTGATAATCTTTTGCTTACTAAACCTGATAGCTGAGAAGCACGACAGACTCTCTCCAGAGCCAGCTGGAGACAGCTGAAGCCCAGCTCAAGCTAAGAGAAGAGGAACACTCAACTGATCTTGAGAATGCTCTCTTGAAACTTGAAGAAGAGCAACAGAGGTGAGATCGATCAAATATTTCTTGCATATTCATCAAAATGAGGGCATTGTGAAAGGGGAATGTATCAAGAATGAGCTGGAAATATTTCTTCTTCATGGTTCATAAGTTACATTCAACGCACTGTATGGGATTTTTATATTAACTTTTTCCATCCCATCTTGGAAATTTACACAACTTTTTTTCCCACCCTCAAGGAGTTCTAGCCTAGCTCACGTCAACTCCATCCTACGAGAGCAACTTGATCAATCCACTACGGCCAATCAACACCTGACAGCTGACATCTCCCGACTGAACTCTGACTTGTCTAAAACACGAGATGACCTGGAAGTACGGGAGAAAGAGTGGAGAGAGGAGGAGAAGGTAACTACTAGACTGGGAGCCTGTCCTTGCACATGTAGAGGGGGGACAGAAGCTAATAGACACAGCTACTCCTGTAAGCCTTGCTGATCTGGGTTTGCAATTCACCTGATCACTTTGGTTGGTTCCCATCTAAGAGGGAAGCAAATGAAAAATTGTCAATAAATGTTGCTTACCTTTGACTTTAACTGCAAAGTGGACTCGCAGATATTGAGATTCTTGCAGCATGAATCATGGTGAGACTTAAAAGCCTTTAAGTGACGACACGATGGTAGCTCTTAAGAGACATGTACTGTACTGGTTCTAAAGAGCTCATTGCCCGTAGCTTTTCTGAATGGGGCATTTCATTTATGTTGTCTCTACATATTTACTTTGCTAATGATTTCCTGGATTTATCTTCCGTAAATTCCAGTCCTTCAATGATTACTTCAACAATGAGCACAGTCGTCTGTTAGCTGTCTGGCGTAATGTGGTTGGCTTCCGACGTGGATTCAGTGAGATGAAAACAGCAACTGAACGGTAAGACCATGAACCAGTTTATCATGATGTAAGACCATAGACTGGTTTATCATGGTGCAGGACCATTAACCAGTTTATCATGGTGTTGGACCATAAACCAGTTTATCATGACGCAAGTTCATAGACTGGTTTTTCATGATGGAAGACCATAAACTGGTTTATCATGGTGCAGGACCATTAACCAGTTTATCATGGTGTTGGACCATAAACCAGTTTATCATGATGGAAGACCATTAACCTTTTTTTCATGATCTATCTACAGAGGCAGCTCCTTCCAGATGAAATAGAGAATTTTCTTCATAACTTTTTAGCCACATATATTTGTCCGTTTGTGAGAGAATCAACAATACGATGATTAAGAAGGCACCAGTCAGAGTTTTGATGGAGTTTGTTTCTCATCTAAAAGACAGTTATTTCTTGAACTTGTACGTTTTGGATGTTTTCTTAGGGATATGGCACAAGTTCGCGCTGAGATGACCCGTATGTCTCGCAACCTCCACTCAGCCTGCTTGAACCTCAATGCCAACATGCGTACTACCGAGACCAGCTCTGTCGTCCAATTGGAGAAGGAGCGATCTGAACGACTGCAACTTGAACAACAGCTCCGCGATAAGGTCAAGGAACTATTGGACCTCCAGGCTAGGTTTGACATGGAGAAGACAGAGCTTAATACCAGGTAAGGAAGTGGGTCGGAGCAAGAGTATGGATTTGATCAGTGACCCGAGGGATAATAAAAAGTTAACAGTGGCTTGACTGATCTTTTCCAATTCCCATAGTATTTGCAGGAGTGAGAAGGTGATTGACGAAAAAACAATTCAAATCACTGATTATTATCACCCTTGGTTCTCGGTGCCCTGAGGCTAGCATTCAGAATTGGAATTTAAATTTGCCATCAAAGGAATGTTTATTGCCTTTAAAAAGTAGCTTGTGGTGCTACTTCATGCGCCCTTTGTCTCCAGAAGGTTCGGAGTTAGTCAGGATGTAAATATGCTATTTCAAAGAAGTCCAGAATAAAGAAGAGAAGTGACTCTGGCGGTGTATTTTGTATTACTCTTTAAAATGACAGGATTAATGAGCTGACTGTGACCAATGAGAAGTATAAGATTCTTTTGGCTGAGAAGGACAACCAGCTGCGAAATGCAGCGAGTGCTACCAGCATCAGCCGAGTGACCATCTCACCCTCCCAGACTCAACCGCTGGAGTCTAGCCGCACCGAGGCATCGCAGCAGCAGCAGTCGCCGTCGGATGTCGTGGATGAAGGCGAGACGCTGCAGTTACTGCGTGAGGAATGCGAGGCACTGCACACCGCGCTGCGCGACATTGCTCAAGTGGTCATCCAAGATGCTGATATCTCAGGGACGGCTGATGGCGATATGAATGGTATTGGAGAAGATCCACAGGAGAATGGATTGATGTCTGATGTGACTCTGCCATCTCCCTATGCTAGGTCTACTCCACTGAGGTGAGATTATTTTCTCTTCAAGAAATCTTTGACATCTGAATACATTTAGATAAGGTTGCCAGAGCGAGAGTGTTCTAAGCAAAACCTGACAACTTCACTTGGTGATGATACCTTCTCCCCTCAGACGTTCTCAATCACCTGGTCGGCCCTACCAGCTTCACCGTACTCCTTCACCTCGTCGTACTGTCTCTCCAACTAGACGCACCCTGTCACCGTCTCGATCTCGTTCACCAGCCTTTGCCGAGTCGACTTACTCGGCTGTCCAAGCTGCACTACAAAAGCGACAGCTACAGGTTCAGGTGAGTTCTACCAAACTTAACGACCTCCTGATTTTCTTTCTGCCTTTTGTCAGAAAGGATTTGGTTTTGGCTCTTCCTCTGCCAAGGGAATACAATGTGTTAATGTTGTGATGTTTCAACAGGAGCTGAAAGTCAAGTTGAACAGCACCAAGGAACAGATTGCTTCCTTGAAGAAGCAAGCTGACGACGGGGAATCAGAGAAGAGACATCTTGAACGCTCCATCCAGGGATTGAATGATGACTTGGAGACAGCGAAACGCCAGACTGATGATGTCAGGAGAGATCGCGATAGACTCCGGAACTCACTTGAAGCGACAGGGAGGTAGGCTGCATAATTTTAGGATATTTACATCAAAAATATCAACTTCATAATAAGGTCAGAATTGGATTTAAGATTTACGACAGACTTCAAAGGACTCAAGTGTTTTTATGTCAGGTAACAGAAACTTTTTGTTTTCTGCATTCCAATAGGTTTTCAAATTTACATCTTTTCAATTGTTTGCTTTGACAGTGAGAAGTCAGCCCTTGAGAATCTTCGTCGCTCACTGAACGAACAAATTGAAGCCCTGAACATGGAGAACGAGAGGATCCAGTCGGCAAATGCTGAGCTGCAACGACAACGAGACAGCTTGGAAGACGAGAGAGATGATCGAGAGAAAGATATGGGTCGACAGAAGAAAGAGATTGATAGAAGGTGAATGAGAGAAGAAATGATGAAGATGAAACATAGAAGAGTAGTGACCGTGAGAGATTGGGTCCAAACTTTGATAAGGAGGGAAAACTAGTGAAGAGAAAATGGATCCAAAAAAGTTGGTGCAGAAATTCTTGAGAGAACATTCAAAAGCAAGGAAAAATGGGTTTACATTTATTAGTGATCTTTTCTTTCTTTCTCAGCCACAAGCTTCTTGAGCAGATGGAAGGTAAGAATTCCACCTTGAAGGAGGAGATAGTCAGCCTGAAGGAATCACTTAACAAAGCCACCCTGGAGAAAGAGGTTCTGGACCAAGAAAAAGCAGAAATCAGTGAGTCCATACCAGTCTGTCAAACAGAATATCAATCGGGAGAACATTCTGACAAGTTTGTACGTATGCAAGCAGGTTTAGTGTAGGTAGTTGAGGCAATGGATGACAGTTTGGCACTGAAAACCTCTTAGGTCAAGTAGCAACTGTTTAAGAAATGCATGGAGGTATGTTTAAATACCTTGCTGTAACATCGCTCATATCTACGCATGTATTGCTGTGTTAAAGTTTTATGAAGTATTCTTACCACACTAGTCAGTAATAGAAATGATTGATCACAAACGATGTGTTATACTGTGCACCATACAGGTGCTGCACTATCAAGAGCTGAGCTGCAGAAAGCTGAGCTAGAGATGAATCTGAACAAAGTGAAGACTGACGAGGCAAGTCTAAGGGATGCTCTTCTCAAGATGCAAGCATTGAACGAAGGACTGGGACAAGACAAGATTGAACTCAATAAGATCATCATGCAAGTAAGAGGATGACTTTGATTATTTGGTTTGAGAAAGTGTAACAGTCTGTGTTGTGAAATCTCTGTTTTCTTTTTAATTTTAAGATTAATCCTTGACTGAAAGTATATCGAGTTCCTAGATCTTTTTTTAAACTTCGTAAATGATGTAACTGAATGGATATCGTCCACTTGTTTTCACCCAGCTTGAGAGTGACAAACAGGCCTTGTCCTCAGAGAAAGGTCACCTTGAGCATGAGAAATCTACCATCCGGGACGAGCTCGCCCGCATCGAGAGCGAAAAGATGGATACTGAGACGGAGAAGATGGGTCTTGATCAGAGCTTGAGCTTGGCGGAACAATCCAAGGCTCAGCTGGAAGATGATCTGGCAGCTGTCAACAGAGATAAAGCAGAACTACAAGATAGCTTGTCACAGGTGGGTGGAGTCAGGCTGACATGGGAAGGGGGGCAGGGAGCATACCTGAGCACCATGAATTGATTGAATCTAGTTTTTATTAGAGAATCACAGAGCAGCCTTTTACAGGTGGGCAGAGTGAAAAAGTAGGCGGAAGGCTTGATGAGCAGCTTGATAGGAGATTAAAAATTTACTGTTATTTTGGTATTAAGTAATAATTTCCAATGTACTGGCTTCAGGTTTGTCATGGATCATCCTAAGTGACGTTTTAAACTATTTGCTGTTTGCCTTGATGTAGGTGAGTCGTCAGAAGGCATCCCTTGTGGAGGAGCTCCTTAAATACCAGCGTGGTCTGGAGCAGCAAGCAGATAACGTCTCTCGGATTGCCAAGGAGAAAGAAGAGTTGACCAAAGACAAAGCCAGCCTGGTGGTGCAGTTGACCGCCGCAGAGAGGGAGAATCGGGCACAGAGCGAGGTCAGTTGGTCATAAAGGAAGTCGATTTCAGATCATGTCAAAGATTGTCCAACAGATTGGACGGGAGCTCTTATAGATCTCAAGCTTTAAGGACTCGGTCTGGTGAACGTCTTGCTTGTATTACACAAACTGTCAGATCAAAATAAGGAGATGAAGCCTTCAACCATGTGTATCACATGAAGGTGACATCTACCTTAGAAAGGAATCAAAGCTGTTGTCTGAGGCACACTAAAGCTGCAATTCTCACTTTAATTTTGTATTTTTGTTCTTTGTTTTTAGGTGATAGCTGCTCTGAATAGTGACAAGGACAGTCTAGAGACAACCTTGTATGAAGCTCAGCAGACCGCAGCTAAGTTGGAGAACAGGAAGGAACAGCTTGAAGCTGAGGTCCAGGAACTGCAGCTTGCTAAAGAGGCCATCACAGGTTTGTCCAATTGGTTTTGGAAGAGGATTTTGCATGGTTTAAGAAGGCAGAGCAACTGCTAATCTGGAGTGCCCTCCAAAATGAGTGCAACAAATGTGTCGTTAATTCCTGCACAGTGTTTGATTTGGGAAGATTTTGAAAGGTTTCTACAAAATATGTCCAGGCATCAACCAAAACAAAATCAGAAAGTAAAGATGGCCAAAAAAGAAGCAAGTCTTATTTGGAGTATGTTTGGTGTTGTAGTTGACCTTGCTCGGGTCCGTAAGGAGATGGAAATTGAAGTGACCAAGCGAGACAAGGATCTGGACCTCTTGAAGCAGAAATTGTCTCTGGGAGAGAGGGATTCACAGCTGGCCATCAAGCAAAGAGAACAGATGCATGAAGAAGAGATGGAGAGAGTCAACCGAGAAAAGGTAAGAAGGAAAAAATAAAAGGCTGTTGACGGAGAGACCAAACAAGAAGAAGCAATTGACGTACTTCAAAAGTCAGTTTATCCAAAATTTGCCTTCTTAATGTGATTTCAACAGCGCTGTTTTCTTAGCATTGTGCAAAAGCATTTGAAAAACAATATTTTCGTGTGAAAACAGTCCGTCAGAGTTAAGGCGACATAAGTGAACAAAGTGTTACAAATGTTCTCGGTGCAATTGCTCCCGTTTTTTCAGGAGACAATCCGATTGCAGTTGGAAGGGGAAAGAGATGAAATCGTTCATAAAGCTAACCAGGAACGGGAGGAGCTGGTGGCCAAATATGAACAGGACAAAGAAGCCATGGAGGAAGAAACTGCCATGATGCAAAGAGACAGAGATGAGAGTCTCCTATTGGCTGAAAATGACAAGCAACAGGTAATGAATATGCACGAGACAGAAATGAGTCTCCAATTGGCTTAATATGAGGTACAATTGGTAATGAATATGCATGGACAAATTATTTTTGAGATTGATCAGAGTTGGTTTCTTATTAACCACTTGCCGCCGGGGATTCCAGTTTTGGACATGTATTCTTTATATGCATTGCCGGGGTCTCCGAAATTGGACAAAGGGAACTGGGCCTTGTAACAAAACACTGTACACTCTGACAAAGACCAGGTTGCTGGGAATTACCAAAATATTTTTCACTCTCAATAGTGGAGATAGTCCAGTGCTGTTTTGAAACAGTATACCACAGTTTGGGGCATTCGATACAAGCAGATTACCACCAGGGACAAAAGCGCTCCACCAGCGATGAGCCACACAGTACCCCTGCACACTACTCTGGACCCTATTGAAAAGAGGTCAGCAGCGCACTGTGCCAGTTTCATGAACAAAAGCAAATTACGTAACACCGCACAATCTGGGCTCTATTTACAAGGTGGCAGGCCTGGCTGAAATACTCCAGCGTCAGTAGATGCTGTCTGTCAGATTAGAGTGGAAACCAGACAGTCCTTTGTGTGGGTTTAATTGTCCAGTAAAAAAAGAAATGAATTTTTAAAGAATTTTGAAAACACAAATAAAAAGGAAAATTATCCCGTCCCAGCATCATCAACATACATAAATGCCCCTGGCGCGATGTGGTTAATCAGAAAGGCTCAATATTCCTGAAGTCTTAATTGAATCTCCTGGCTTTAAAGAAGGAAATTTTACAAAAAAAATAATTATATTTGTCCAAATGAATGTTTAAGTAATGAAGTGTGTGTTTTAAAGGAGAAAAAAAATTTTCCTGAAAATAGTAAGAAAACAATGATGTGTTGATTGTGTCGAATATGGTAATCATGTACATATTCTTTGCGATAATTGTTGCTTTGTCTTTGCCCATTTCTTTCCCTTCAGGCCTTGTCACTCGCCCAGCAAGAGAAGAATCAGTTAATGGAGAAACTGAATAACTCCCAACGAGAACTGGCCAATGCATCCATGGAGATGGATCGATTGAAACGAGAGGCATTCACCAAAGCTGAGCAAGACAAGGTGACCACGAATAGTCCATTTTGTTGAGAGGTTGAAAAAATTCACTCCTTTTACAAAGTCCCTCCTGGATGCTGACTGATTTAGAGCTCATCTTGGAACTTTGTAGTGACTTTTCATGGTTCTCAAACAAGGCAGCCTTTTTTTGGTTTTGGGACGCAAGTAATTCATTGAAGTATTTATTTTCATCTTGAAACTGTTATTATTTCTTGTAGGATGCTCTGAACGCTTCCATCATTGAGTCCAAGGATCTGAGAGGAAAGTTTGAGGAAGCCACGTAAGTCCATTAAGCAATCTTGACAACTTCCTATGAACAAAATAAATTAGATTAAAAATGAACTTCATGAATATGATTGCTTTGCATAAGAACTCTTCAGAATTCCTGCAGGTGTTCATCAATTAAGCAGACTTCACTGCACTCCACTTTGATTTTCTCCTCTCCATGGTATAGTGAAGCACACGAGAGGCATGTTCGTGAACTGACATCTAACATTAAGGACCTCCAGAAGGCAAAGGAAGCTCTGATGAGAGAGGTCAATGAACTCAAGACACAACTCAAGATGGTGGAGGAGAGTCGAGATGGTGTGAGACGAGAGTTGATTGAGGCTCATCGTAAGATTCGAGAAGGTTAGTGGGCAGAGGGTTCATCAGGGATTAGACAAAGGAAGCAAGTCTGTTTCCTCAAAGATGCTTTTATAAACCAAAATAAATAGCAGCTCTACCACCGTACTTTCTTAAACATTTCAAGGGCTTTGCAGGAGTGAAGACAGTAGTGGCAGTCGTTTTGACTTTAACTGGTATTTGATGTCTCATGGAGGGCAGCTAAAATAAGCCATGCCTCTTGTTTAGGATGCCCAATTTGTGGTAATTGCCTAATCTCAGTTTTTGTTGTGATTATGTTTTGAAGGTGATGAGGCAAGGGAGGTTATGCGTAAAGAAAATCTGGACATGAAACGGCAGTGGAATGACGAAATTCGTGAGAAGGAATCAGTGACGAAAGTTAGTGAGGAGCTTCGAGACAAGGTGAAGAAGACAGAAGCTGAGAAGATGTCATTGAATCGCAGCGTAGAGGACAAGGTTCAACGAATCAATGGTGAGTGGAATGCTGGGATTGATCAAGACGGAAAATGAGATTGAGAAATCTTGGAATGTGCCATTTAGGACCAACTCTTCAAATACTGCTTGGTGTCTCTACACTTACTGGTGGTCAGAAGTTAGCCGAGTTTTAACCTCTGTTAATTTCCAGTTTTGGAGGAAGCCAAGTCCGCTATTCAGAAAGAAGCCGGTGAATTGAGGTCTAGCTTGAGGGAAGTGGAAAAGTCACGTCTGGAAGCAAGACGAGAATTACAAGAACTCAGGCGACAGGTAAGTAAAGATGGTAGGAATGTTTACTTCTTTGTCTGTTATGAATGGGATCATTTCATGATCTACAGTTTTTATGAAGCCTCTTCTCTGAATGGTAGTTCTTGATTGGATACTATGTCGGAGCAAACATAACTTCTTGTTTGTACCTAGGGTGGTGTAGAATTAACCCTAACAGTCCTCAATCCTTCACCTGTTGGAGGACTGAGGACTGTTCGGGTTAATGTGCTAATTGTTTGATGGAGTATGAATTGTAGTGAAATCTCAAATCACTCTAGCTAAAACTGACCCCGCTATTAATAATGCAACAAAAATTAATCACTGAAATATGTTTCCTCAATTTCCCTGCCAGATCAAAACCCTTGAGACTGAGCGAACTAAGAGAGTCAAAGAGATCGAGGACCTGATGGCTCGCCTCTCAGCTGCTGATGCTCGTGAGGAAGACAGTCGCAAGGATATCTACTCCCTCAAGCAGAAGATCGTGGAGACAGAATCAGCCCGCGAGGCCATCCGCAAAGATGCTGCCAACCTGCAGCGACGCTACAACGAGTTAGAGGAGGAGCTCCGCCTACGAGAGAAGGATTACCAAATGGCACTGGACGATGCACGCAACACAGAGAGGAAGCTGTCCGATAAGCTGAGGGTAACAGAGACGTCGCTGGAGTATGCCAACGGGGAGATGGGTGAATTGAAGTTGAAACTGAGTGCTGCCGAGGGACGGATTAATGGCTTAGAGGCTCAGCTAGCTCAGGTTGAAGGTCAGAGACAAACACAATTTCCCGCTAGAGCTAATTCGTAGATTCAGTAGTTTAAACTGTGAGATTGTTGACAATGAAAAAACAAGAATAGTTGCATTTTCGGTCATTTCAGTGAAGGAAAGAAAAGAACAAATCCACCAAATGTCAAATCTGAGTTGCGTCAGGACTCACAATTTGCCACATTGGTTTCATTCCTTTGGGCTGAGATTATTCCAGGACTGAGCAGATATCAAAGCAGTCCAGGCAGTAATTAGCAACGTCGAATTAGCATACCTTCATGAAAAAGCACTTTTTAGATTCAAACTTGAACAAGAGGGTGTTGGGTAGGGCTGAGTCAATTTGAATAATTCACTATTCCAGAGCAGAAAATACATGCATAAATAAGAGACCAAGTTCTGTGAATTAACTTGCAGAAAACCTCTTGCAACATGTCATCTGTTCATTTATTTCCACAGTTTTGCATACATACGATTTCAACTTTCAAACAATATATTTGACACGAGGGGAAAGTCGTGGAGGTTAATTTTGCTCTTTATTAAATCTTAAGTTACAAAATTGATTTCAAGTTTATCCTAAAAATCGTGAAGCTATCGCTCACGATTGATCCCTGATGTATGCTGTGGCAAATCTCGGTGGCTTGTGTATCACCGGCGCCCTCTTTATACTAATGCCACGGTGCGCACCCGATCGATCACGCGGAGTTGCAAAACCATTGTCCATTCAATACTGTTGGCATATTAACCGTGCGTGCCGTGGCTGTCACTAGAAGACGACTTCGAACAAGTGCGGACCAATGTACCCAGTTTCTCAGCTAGTTAATTACAATTAATTCCTTAACAGTTAGTGGCTTTCCCTTCTAATCCTTGGGGAAATAATGGCCACTTGTCACTCTCCGACATAAAAATCCCTACTGTTTTATCAAGTTGACGTTCGGGAATTACAAATGGCAACTGCATCGTGTTTGGTAGGTTTTGTGTACAAAATATTGGGAGCCAAGGACGATGTTCGGTACAGCCGAATGTTCGGTATAGCGTATATTCGGCACAGCCCTAGTGTCAGGCCAACACATCACCTCGTTTCTATTTTATGTTTACCTAAACTCCTGAATGTCAGAGATAAAACAATTGATGTCAGTGTACTGTTTGTGATTGTTTCCCTAGGAGCCAAGCGTGATGTAGAATTCAAGCTAGGTAGCCTACATTCAGCCCTCCGTCGTACCCTGGGTATTGGTACAGGTGCTGTACCATCAGGTAGTCCAGGATCTACACTGAGAGCTCGCAGTCCAAGCCCTGTAAGAAGTCGTCGGACTCGCTCACCTGGCAAAGGTAAGTCAAGAATGAACAGCCTTCAGCGAGAGCGTGTTTCATTTAGTTTGGTGAGCTTGAGTAAATCTACTCTGGCCTTAATGAAAAAATGATGTGAGAAGTATGAAAAAAACTTGATCTCTGGATATCTTTCCTTGAGAAGTTCATGTATTAGAAAAAACTTAATTTCAGGGGAAACATAGTCTTGGCTTCTCACTCTGATCCCACTTAAATGACAAATTGTGATTTTTTTTTGTGCCTAACATTTTTAAATTAGTTTTGCATTTTTAATGAATCCTTCCCCCATTTTAATTTCTTAATGCTTCCGTGCAGTAAGCTTCAATCTAACAGCAGGTAGGTCATTGAGAGCCAATTTATCAGTGAATATGATTTTTTTAACTCATACACAGCTTTTGCATATTTATTTGCAAATTGACACATCTCACAATTTTAATTGCAAAGAAACTTCCGACAGGTTTGCAGTGGCACTTGTTATGATGCAGCCTAGCTTTGTACACCCTGTTATGACATTGTTGCAATGACATGAACACAGTCTCTAATATCAATAATCACTTCTTGGATTTACCTCGGTTTTTACTATTCATCTCAAAATCATTTTAACAATCTACTACTAATCCTACTAAGATTCTGTGCATTAAACATTTTCAGTCTACAAAGCTCCCAAGTTGACACTTGATGTTGGTTTTGAGTTGAAAGTGCAAACTTCAGCCACATGTCAACAGTACCACCTGCAATTTTCTCTCTTGGTGTTTGTTCATTCCTGATTAACAAAAACAATTTTTATCGTCACCTGCATTTGACATAGCTTTGTACCCATTCATTTGGATATTGTAAACAATGCATTGATGTGTGAAGAAAAATAAAGCTAAATGCCTGTTTGATTAATGGGATGGTCAGAAAATCTGTCACAGCAAATGCAGTGCTCACATCAAGTCTGCTTTCAACTTTTTTCCCCCTTGGTGCTTTGCAGCGAGCATGGATATTGCCGTCACCCATTCAGCTTCCTTTTTTCTCACGCAGGTTTTGACAACACATACACCACTACTACCGATGGACGAGGCAGCCCCATCCCACGAACTGGTTCTCCGGACCGCTCTCGTAGCCCGGAACGTAGCATGTCACCAACTCGTCTTGAGCAACTTGTGGCTGACATTGACCCTGAGACGGTCCGTATTGCTCTGCGAGACTTCTCTCAGCAGCTCAAAGAGACAGAAAGGCAGAGGGTGAGCAAAACAAACATGACATTGCTGCCAAAGTGGGATTAACCAGAAGTTGTCATGTGTGGACATCAGATGTTCCTTGATGTGGACAGCAGTCAGGTGGCATGGTGTACTGGAAACAGTATTATGCCAAGGCTTATGTCTGACCACTTCATTTCTCAGCTCTGAGAGGTCCAACGTTGCATCTTGTTCTGTTCTTGGCAGGGTTCTAGTTCCAGCTTGTCAACATTTCCAGCTTCAAAGTATTAGAGTTGGTTGCATTTAGCATACAGGAAAATTGGTAGGCATTGGAGAACGTTAAAATAACTTCAGTCATTCGTGGAGGGAAGACTAAGCCAATTTTTTCTTTCTGTTTGCAAGGACGATGCACATTCCAAGATCAAGAGTCTGCGTCAGGAGATGGCTGAGATGGATGAGGATAGAAGCCGCATTGAGCAACGTCTCCAGCAGCTACAGAAATCTCTAGGTGAACTAGAAGAAGGCAAGAGAGGAGCTGACGGTAGACTGAGCAGTGCTCAGACGGCGTTGATGCTACAAGAAGAGACTATCAGAAGACACGAACGGGAACGCAAAGGTGAGAGGAGAGAACGAGGGATTGTAGAAGGAATTGACGGTAAATTAGGAAGTGTTCCAAGGAAACCAAATAACCAAGAACAGACAAGTGTTGGAATAGAGGTTGTGTCATCCTCCAAATTCACAACAATTTTAATCTGGTCCATCTGTCCTGTCATCCATGTTTAATTGTGCTTGTCAACTGTTGATCAAGTGATAACCTTAAGCCTGACCTTAAATCCATCAAAACATACTAGGGTTGAAAAAGGCAGACCCTGAAACTGTTTTCTTTTATGAAACTTGTTGCTCTGAAAGTGTCAAGACTCTGCCATTGGTTTGCTGCATAGTGTGGGATCGTAAAGGATTGAGGAACGTTGTCAGCCAAAAATGCCTTGGTTTTTGACATACTAAAACAGGAATGCAAGAGAAGATTCACACTATGGAACGATCTCTTCAGTCCTCGGAGAATGAGAAACGTGCTTGTCAAGACAAGATTGGAAAGATGAAACAGAACGAGCAGCGTCTGGAAGCAGACAAGCGCCAACTTCGAGATACTTTGGAAGGCTCGGAGAATAGAGGCACACAGCTAGAGTTGAAACGTCGGGCTTTGGAGGGTGATCTACAGCGACTGCAGCTGTCGATGAATGATCGTGTCACCGAAAACCAGGTATGACAGAGTTGCAAAGATTTATTTTGTATCAAGAAGATGTTACTTTTCAGTTACGAGTTTTGCCCCTACGCTGACATTTAGTCATAACAAAGATGGAACATAACCGGGGCAAAACCTGTTATGACAGAGTTGCAAAGGATGGGATTCCCTGAGAAATTTTCAACTGAATGCATTTCTTACATTGTTTTAATAAGAGGTTGTCTTTGTTAGGCTAAGACATTTCAATGGAAAATTGTCTTTTGTCTATTAGGATTAAATCAGGTTTAAAATAGAAACAACTTCAGGTAGCAGTTAATCACACATTACTTGCAAGCTCTTTGTAAGATTTACAGTTAGTCATCCCTTTGGATTTGTATGTTCATTCCTTGGTACCACCATTTTCACATCATCAGGTCTGCCAGGAACGAATCGACACCTTGATGAAACAGATACAGATTCTGGAGAGCAAGAACA